CCGAAACTTGGGTTCAAATAGAACAAGACTGCACTCTAACATTCTCCTTCAAGATCAACTCCCGCTCCCTAAATACCAGAGATATAAGGAGTTTCACTCCCACTCACCAATAAGTGTGACTAAGGTATCTGGGATAGAATATCCACAGCCTGGCATCCCGCTACATTCCCTTCCCCTTTAGCCCCTATTAAATACACAAAGGCATTTCACCAGCATAGCAGAAGGGTTGGAGAAGTAGGAAAAGGGAAGACTAAAATGAGGGGATCATCTTTATGGAACCCCCATAGTCTCTCTCTGAGCTTCTGGCCTTCGGTACTGTTCTTTCGGCAAAGAATGAGACAGACAAAACAGCACCAGGTAGTGATACTTTACAAATACTTGGTAAATCCCAGTTAGTAGCAAAAAGGACAATCTCTCTGGGATTCACAATCCTCTACTAAATGATATGAACAAAAGACACGGACCTACAGGATAAGTTGTTAGGAAACAATTCAAACAAGTAATGGAGAGACATGAGGCAAAGAGCCAAATTTACATGTACTCGCATACGAGAGCAGTCCATTACAAGATAATGTACTAATGGTGCATAACACCAATTTGACTGTGACAAATGTATGGCACACTAGCCGGACAGGTGCTGGCATAACCGTGAGGGACTGGCTTTCTTCTTCAGATGTGACGGGAATGTCCAATCACCACTGAATTTTCAAAATCTTGCCATCTTCTACACTGAAGATCTGATTTCCCACCAACTGTCTTGGGTCCCTGTCATGTTCCTTTAAAAGGAAAGAGGAAGGTAAATGAATCGCAGATCTCTTGGTAATGGCCAAGGGTATCCGATCAGAGCCTTACACAATTGCCATGAAAATGTGCCCGCTGTGGCTCAAAAATCCAGTTACCTGCTCTTTATCATGAAGACAGATGATAATGGAGGGTGAAATAATTTTTAAAACCCTATTATTCAAAAATGCCCTGACCTGCCAAAAACAATTACCTACCCATGTAACTGACAACAAGTTTTGCAAGATGCCCTCACAGTCCTATTGCAAAAAAGAGGAGCAACCAAAACTCATGTGTTGGATAGCCATCGTATGAGATGCTCTTGGTATCAAACCCTGACATTCCTTAAGCACTGATAGGGGAGTGACTATCTAAAAACCTTGGCTCCCGATTTTAGAGATTGGTTTATGGAACTGAGCGCCCAGATTTGTTAGGCAAAGACATTAGATTCATGCTTTTTCTATGAACGATTCTCCCAGTAGCACCATTGTTCCTGCTGCGATTGGAAAGTGGAGACACATTAAAAAACAATCCCAAGTTAAGCTTATTTCATGTCACTCAGTAGCTCCTGTCTCCTGGGTAGCATTGGCCAGATGGGTGCTTACACAGAGTGGGTGCAATTACTGGTGCTGGCTGCGGTCTCGATTTTTTTTTGGGGGGGGGGGATGAGGAACATTCAATGTTTTGTTCTCATACTGTGCAAATCCTTTCATCATGGGCAAATCTAAGAGACAAAAAGTAGTAGTAGAGAGGCAGTGTGGTTTAGTGAGCAGGGCAGTAGCCGCGGAGTCAGGAGATTTGGGTTGTGCCACTGACCTACTGCATTACCCTGGACAAAAAACTTCAACTCCATGTGTCTCTCTACAGGAAAGAAAAGAATAGCTATGCTATCTTTGCAAAGAGCTCCGAGGTGCTCAGATGAGATGTACTAAGTATATGTGAGAGAGAGTGAGTGAGTGGTGTGTTAGCAGACCAGATGCACTAAAGATGCAGCAGGCCAGTGTAAAATGCACCTCCCTTTGACAGCCTTGCATGGGCAAACAGATTCACCCTTCAGTATTTCCACTGCTATCCTCCTTTGGGTGTCATTCAAGCTCCATTACTGTTGAAAGGAAGCACTGAGTCAGTGCATGCACCAGCTGCCCCGGCTATGCCCCCTTCCTGGGAAGCATTGGCTGCCTTTGCCTCCCAGCCCCCAGGCTGCAGATGCCTTGTACCACAGCAACTTTCTCTCCTGGAGGAATTCCCACCACCAGGTTCCTGTGCCAGGGTTTAAATTGGTATAAACCTGGGCTGAGTCTTGCCCAGCAACTATAAAATGTCAGAGCTAAATTCTGCTCTCTCTTCCCTCCATGTAAATCCACAGTAACTCCAGTGAAGCCAGTACCAATGTAACCAAGAGCAGGATTTTGGCCCATAACCTAGTTGTATGGGAATACAGAGGTAAACTGTGTTTCATAAATATGAACCAAGCTTTTGTGGCAGCCTCTAAGGAGCAAAAGGTTTCCTAACACTGCTGTTGGTGTGGAAGCTGTTGTGTTTGACACTTACACTGCCTCAAGTCAGAACAGACAAGCACAAAACCATTTCTGAAGTGTGTGTAGTCCCCTCCTAAAGTGGTAGAGTCCATTTATTCCTCACTGGCTTCCTTTGGGATCGGCGGTTGCTGGGTTCTCTTTGTGCCTTCTCTTTCTTCCCTCAGCGAGCAGGGAGAGGCCGTATCTCCACCTGCTGCTGGAAGCCAACCCACTGTAGCCAACTCCCCTACGCCAAATGCTGCCTGTCTGGGATGCATGCAGGCTATCCTGGAATTGCAGTTGGTTGCCCTGGCGTATCATTCAGGCACCCAGTCCAGTAACTTCTCCTCTTCTTCTCTGTCCCAGTCTTTACTACCAATCTGGGTTTCACACACGCGCTGGGCAAGCAATTTCAGTTTCGCATCCTCTGCTTCTTTGTTGCTTTCTGCCTGTGGGAGTGACTGGGAGTTTGCTCCATCCAAGCCCCACAATAGCAAGGGACTTTCAATGGAATGGGCTCCTAAATAACTTTTGAAAATGGGATTTAGGAACCTAAGTCAGTGAAATGCTTCTGAAAACACTTTACTCTGCATCAGAGTATTACACTCCGCTGCTTGAATTCCCTAGACAACCTTGAAAATGGATCTGTATTACTGTGTTCCAAAGATGCTTTATTTTCCAATATTGTACTGAAATACTGTCATCTAAGACCATTGTTGGAGGGTGGCAACTGGTCTTTGGCCTTAAGATCTCAAGGAAGTAAAGGCTGATTCAGGTAAATTTTCCACCAGATTGGTATCTGTAGAATTTAAGTGTGGCTTCTCTCCCAGCAGGAGTGTAATTCCTCTCCAATTTCTCAGCGTACATGACTCAACTTCTCACTGCTGTCTAGAAAACTACGCGAGATCACAACCCCTTCTCCAGTAAGGGAGACATCACAAGGCAAGATTAGATGTAAAGCAGAATCAAAGGCACCCTCTACAGAAGACAAAGTATTTAGCTGCTTTAGCTACTTCTTGGCATTTTCCTGACCAGTCCCACTGTTTACCTTTCTATACAAGTTTGGTCAGGCTGTAATGTCATACTTTTCTGTGGTGCTATAATTTTCTAGACTATTTACTAATGCCAGGAAATCTGCACAATCCAGTGGCCACACACCCCTATATAGGAGTTGTTCAGGGCCCACACTTCTATTCCTGCCTCAGCTGCAGTGGGGGTGCTGAGAGGCAGTAGGCCTTGCCCATCAGCTGGGGTACATGCAAGTTTCATCGCTCAACTCAGTGTGGAGGAGAGGCGGGGGGAGTTACCTGCACAACACTTTTACTCAGGCAAGTAACCCAGCCCATCTGAACAAGATCTTCAGCCCCTCTTAAGCTTAAGCTGGACTAAAAGCTGCTTTAAGGGAGCACCTCAGGATTCCCCTAGTGAAGGGGAATCCTCAGCTGGCATAACTAGTGCTATGCGATCTGCTCCTGGCCCAGCCTCTTGCCTTGGGCAGGGAGCCTTCCAGGGTGGGCGAGGGCGCTAGGGCTGGAGCACAATGCACTCCAGTGATTCTGCCAGCACAGTGACTCTTTGGGAGTTATTTGCCAGTGCAAGTTGGAGATGCCCTGATGGTTCTCTAGCTTGTTGCAGGGGCCTGTTCAGCCACAGACCGCCTCCAGAACTAGGGGCAGGGGACAGCAAGGTGGTGGCAAGCCACATATGTCTCATCCCCCTCTACAACAAGTGCACTGAGTGCTGCTCTGCAACACCTGAGGATTTGGCCCACAGCCTCTGTATTTTTACTCCTGTATAAAATAGGGAGAATAACAACCATGAGCACAATCCAAATCATACTTTAAGATCCCATGGGCACATGGAGCTTGGTAACGAAATATCTTCTGCATTTTAGAGACAAGAAAACAGAGGCTCAGAGACGTTCGGTGATGTGCCTGGGAGTCGCAGTAAGTCCACCCCACAAATGGAAGTTGCCTTACAGACACACAGGTCTGCTATTTGCACTCAGATGATTCAGGGTGAGGTGCCTTGGGTTTGTTAGGTGCTTAAAGAAATATAAACACGCCATTTATTACCTATCCTCCCCAAACATTGCCTTGATCTGCCTGAGCTATTCTAGTGTAAATTCAGTGAATATCCTGTGGAGGAAGTGGCTGGCAAGGTTTCTATTACTCCCTGGTCCACGATTGTTTTTGCATCTTCTTCTCTAAATAAGGAAGACTGCAAGATATCTGACCATCCAACCAATTTGTCCCCTTTGCATTCAGCAACCCCTGCCGACCATCCAACAAAACTTAGTTCCTGCCTCATATATTGGATGACAGCATTCGTCCAACCTCAGCCAGCCCGGGAGAAGAGAGTAGGTTAGTGTTACAGCCATGGCGAGTTTACCTTTAGCGAGCTGTTGATGTCACAGTGATGCTGCAGGGTGGGACAGCCTCTGAACTATAAAGATAGGTCAATCCAGTATATTGAGGCTGCCCACCAGACAGCAGGAGCTACAAAACATGGTCCCCACCAGTGAGAGTTCTGCTGGCCTGTCTCTGTTCCCAACCCAACTGCTCTCAGGCTTTAGTTTCATGTCAGCAATCTTCATCCGCCTTCCAAAAATAAGCCTCTGCCACCATGCGGAAGGGAGAAAAACAAGAAGGGCGGTATTTTTAGGGCTATTAATTCTGACCACGTGCCCGAGAGGTGAACCGGATGGCCATTGCACAAAGACTTCTCATCACTATGTCCTGTGAAGCCAGCGTTCACTGGACGTTGCCTGCTTTTGTTCTCTTGGGTTTTCTGGCTGGGATTGTTTCATCGTATCCAGTTGTAAGCAGAACTAATGGCACATTGCTGGAGAGAGGATGGGAGTCTCTGTTGTCCAGGTCCATTGCTGGGATGTCAGGAGAGAAATCAGATGTGAACTGGGAGAGTGACTATTTGCTAGGAATCAAGAGGCAGCGGAGGCTTTACTGCAATGTGGGCATCGGGTTTCACCTTCAAATCCTCCCAGATGGAAGGATAAGCGGTGTTCATAATGAAAACCAATACAGTGAGTTGCATCCAGAAATGAAATAGAATAGATGTCACTTAATTGCAGTGATCTCTAGTAATTACCCTGCGTAGGACACAAATGTTACTGCTTGATATTATTAGTTTAAACTACATCTGTTGCCTTTTAAAAGTCTCCAGGATCAATCAGCACTAGAAACCTCCAGGCTGAAACATGTCATGAATGCTTGGACAAAATTAGATACCAACTTATTTTTACTCTGCTTTACTTTACAGAGTAGAAAAGACTAACCAGTTTGCAAACTTTTTTTCTGATGCATTTTTTCACTCATGCATTTTTGTTCGATATTTGAATCTTGAGGTTTTCAATTCACTCAGCATATTAGCATGACTTTTGAATAGCAGTTTGCTAGCAGCTTAACGACGTGAAGGATTTGAAAGGGCACAACTAATCCACATTTATTAGCATTGCCATTGTTTTTAATCTGCAAGATTAAAAGAAATGTATTTTTAACTATTTATTTGAATTTCTTGTAAAGTGCAATTTATAAAACCATCCGCAACTAAAAGGTTATGGTGAGTTTCATGACACAAACCCCACATTTCTTGTGGCAAGAATGACAGTATTGAACAGTCAATGGCTATGATTTACTAATTAGGAATTATTCCCAAATTCTATAGGACTTTCTAGTTTAACAGGGATGAAACCAACAGGATTCTGTAGTAAGTGAATAGGATTTTATAAATGTTATTCTAAAAACCTAGAGAATTTAATAAAGAATGTGATACTCTGTTTATTTTTGGAATTCCATAGAAGGGATAATAGGAAGATTTTAAGTTCTGAAGGACATTCTCATAAGGGTTTTAATAATTATGTTGTTAATGTCCTTTGACTGAGCATTATAAGAATAAACTTTTTTCTGTTTATTTAGGTCTTTTAGAAATATCAACTGTGGAGCGAGGTGTTGTTAGCCTGTTTGGGGTGAAAAGTGCTCTCTTTGTAGCAATGAACAACAAAGGGAGGTTATATGGAACGGTGAGTACAAGTGCAAGTTTATTTTTCAAGTCTTAAACATTGGGCACGAAACTCTGATTAAGAAGCCTTGGGTATTTTCCCCCCTCCATTTAAAAACTGAGATCACAGGTGGAGAAAACAGTCTTTCAATTATTACAGTGAGCCTTCTGGGCACGCTGTCATGCGAGACAGTCAGTGCAGCAACTGGCATGATGTCAGTGTATTGTTCCTGTAAAGTATTCCAGCATGATTGTACAAGGGGCACCTCAGAAATATGAACATGTCAAAAAGGGGAAATGATCAATAAATGGCTTTTCTGTCTACATGTCTTGCAAATCCTTTGTAGCCCAGGTAAGCCTTGTTCTATCAAGAGTTCTGTTAGGGGCAGGAGAGGGGGCACACCTTTTCCTGGGCAAAAATCCCATTGCGGAGAGTGGGGACCACTGGTGGGTAAGAAAAAACCCATGAGATTCCTCTACTGGAGTTGCTTTCAAATTCTTTTACATGGGGAAAACCTGGGTGGACTCACAGGATAAGCAGGAAGTTTGGTCCCCAGAATCTACAAATACTGAGGGCCATACGGACATCAGGAAACCACCCAGAAACCTGCTTTGTAGCATCAGGCCCAAAGAAGAAAAAAATACTCATTGCCACTAATAACATTGTTCATCATCATCATACAAAACAATTGGTTGAACAGCCCAAGAGTTGTGAAAGGGATTAGTGATTGCTGAATGCAGTTTAACTTTCACGTCCCGATAGGGTGACTAGAGGGCAAGTGTGAAAAATCAAGACGGGGTGGGGAGTAATAGGTGCCTATATAAGAAAAAGCCCCCAAAATCGTGACTGTCCCTATAAAATAGGGACACCTGGTTACCTTACGTCCCGAAAAATACTTCTTTCAGTTTCAACACTAAACAGAAGTAGCACCTCCAGAGATACCCACTTTAAAGTGGCTAGGTCCTGCAAGAAGCACAAATAGTAGAGCTGGTTGGGGATTTTTCAGTTAAATTCTTTTTAATCAGAAAATGCTGATTCAGCGAAACCTAATTTTTTTGCGGGAAAGGGTTACTTTTGAGAAATTTTTCAACTCACATTTTTTTTAAAAAAAGTTTCAAGGTTGTCTAAAATGTTTTGTTTAGACACTTGTGATTCCAGTTTTCCAGTCTGAAACCACTTTTTGTTTTGAAATTTAAGATAATTATAGTAAAAAACAGTGATCAAATTGGAAACAAAGTATTTCAGCTGACCCAAACAAAAGGTTTTTTGTTTGTTTGTTTTGTTTTGTTTTTTCAGTTTGTGAATATTTTTCAAATTTCAACTCCTTGTCCTGATCCAGAAGGGAAAACTGTTCTGATATCTGGAAAATTTGGGGGGGACAGGAAAACCTGTTCCCTATCTAGCTCTAATGAATGGTCTATCTACTAATAAAGAATAGAGTTTGCTGAAAATTTCTTTTGTGCAAACAACTGAGTTGTTTCCTTGGAAAAATTTGTCACTTCTATAAAACTTTTTGGTTCTTTAATAAAACATTAAACAATGGCCAGATCCTGGAACTTTTACTGACGGGAATGATTCTTATTCATGCAAGTAATCCCAATAGGACAACTCAAGGCCACAAAGCAGCAATGTACATACACACATGCATATTTTTAAGCATGCAAATAGTACCATGTGCTGGATTGAGCCCTGTTTAGGGACTACTGGATCAGGCCTGCCCCAGGAGTCCTGCCTCCTTGCCCCCTGCCTTTTTTAACTGTTTCAATTCACCCCCGCTAAAAAACTTTTAAAAGATATGTTAGAAAACAATAATAGTTGTGTATTTTCCATTGCAAAATGTACCATCCTTGGTTAAACCTTTGGGACTTTGAATGGATTTGTTCCAGAAATATCTGATCAGAAGAGTATGAACTGAAAGCATTACAGCATCAGTGGTAGTGGTATTACATATGCAGGACATTTGATCTCATGGAATCATTTTCGTTTGTCCTGTCACACAATAATGCAGCCCCTTTTGCCAACTGAACATTTATATGCCAGTTTACATGTGTACTTATTACAGTATGTGAAGTAATAAAAAGTTCTCCATGCAAATATATGGAAGCCAATTCCTCAGATTTAAGTGACCCAGCATGCAAAACGTACAAACACTCTCATGCCTGAGAGCTCTTTGGTGGTGTGTTTGATCCTGTAAAATTTAAATCAGATTTAAAAAAAAAAAAATTTAGAACCAATTTGGGATCTGATCCTGCAAAACCCTTATTAAAGCACATAGTTCTTACTCAGCGGGACCGTTCATGTGAAAAAGGGTTGCAGGATTTCTGGCAGGTAACATTATTCCTCTATAAATGACAAATCATTTTTTTGAAGGGAGGAGGAATAAATCCATGTCATGTGTACAACAAATTAGCATGACAATGATGTAAATCATTCTTTGCAGAGAAAATTAAGAAATCCCTGATTTAGTATGAATTAACTTGTTAATGGGTGACAAGAAGTACATAGTCCATTATCTGAACAGGTGGCATCAGCGTGCATCTGACACTGAATAGTGCTGAAGAAGTTTTATTGTTGGACACAGACTCTACGGCACCACCTGTTGCATACCATAACAGGTTCTTCTGCTGTACAAATAATAATAAGAAAAATCACTTTGTTCTTTTAAAAGTATTTATAGCAACGGCTTTGTTCCTTTTGTTTTTCCTCCAGGCAATTTTTCAAGATGAATGCAAATTCAGAGAAACCCTGCTGCCCAATAACTACAATGCATATGAATCTAGTGCTTACCAAGGGGCTTACATAGCGCTCAGCAAACACGGGAGAGTGAAAAAAGGAAACAAAGTCTCTCCTGCGATGACAGTGACACATTTTTTGCCCAGAATATGAAAACAAATACAACATATTAAACCACAGAAAAAAAATATCTATTTCATTTTGCACATGTGAATAATCTCCCAGGTAAAGTATTTATGCTGTTTGTAGATATATGTATATTTGGATAGAGAAGTTTGTATTAGATCCATTACACAGTATATGCTGCTTCTCTTATACTCAGTGTACACAAATTCTATCTGGGTGCACACACCTGAACTGGTGCTGTACAGAAAAAAAATGCAACCCTGACTGAAGGGCAACAAGTATCTGGAACTTGTAAAGCAGCCACAGATACTTTTTGTTGGTGTTGTTTGATTTTAATTACCTCACATAGTAGCCTTTTGATTGAGAGTTTTTATTAATACATATAATGGGCCAAATCCTCAGCAGGATGGACTTCAATGGAGCTACACCAGTTTACACCATCTGAGGATCTCCCCCGCCCCCCATATAAATAGTATTGAATCCCAAAATCCTCACTCAGTTTTACTTACTAGGGCTCACAAATGGTTCCATGTGAACAAACTTGTTTGCCGACAAAATCCCACTGAAGTCAGTGGTGTCTCCACAAGGGCCTAAGGCTCCGCCCACGTGCATGTCTCTGCAGGATAAGGAACGAAGTCAGTTTGCCTGAGCCCTGCTCAACGCTTAAAATTTAGATTGACCTAGTTATATTGCTCGGGGGCGGGGGGGTGTTGAAAAATTCACACCCCCTGAGCGCCATAATTATCCCAGCCTAACCCCTGCTGAAGATGTGGCTAGGTTGATGGAGGAATTCTTCCCTCACCTTAGCTACAGCCACTCGGAGAGGTGGATTACCTACAGCGACAGAAAACCCCCTTCTAGCAACGTAGGAAGAGTCTATACTATGGCGCTACAGCAACATAGCTGTGGCTGTGTCACCGTAGCACCTGTGGTGTAGACGTGCCCTGAGTAAGGACTGAGCAAGGACCTCAGGATCTGGCCCCTCTATATTAGAGATGGACCTGAGCTGCAAAATGTGTGTCTTGAGTTCAAGATTTTGAACCCTTCAGCATTTAGGATTGTTCACATCAAGACTGTTCAGGCCCATCTCGTATATACACATTTGTAAAACGTATGGCATTCATGGGAGCTTCCCACAAAGGGACATGTTAGAGAACAGCTTTCTATAAAACACTGACTGCCTGTCATACCGGAGAGTCCTTCTTAGACCCAGATGAATGCTTTTTTGTTTGATAGTTCAGGCATATCCTATTGCCTTATTCTTCTTTCCCTTATCTCAGTCAAATACAGCAGCTTCCATGTTGTCCAAAACATTCTCTTTGGGGGCTGCGGTGGAGGAAGTTATGTCATAATTCCAACTGGTAAAGATAAACACTTATTTACTTGCAAGGACTGTTTGCAAATTTCATGTGTTGTCCCCCAAACCTCTCCTAAAAATACACACGAAGGACATACAACCCTACCCAACTGTTTAGATAACCTTTTTCCAGAATACCAGTCATGCCACATTCTCTGTGCCTTTAAGGAGTATTTTAAGAGGCCTTAAGTCAATAGTTGCTATAAATGTCAGTTACCAGAAGCCTTGAGATGCCTGCATTGATGGGGTGCTCCTAAATTTGAAACTAGACTCAATGCAGCATCAGAGGATGAGCATTTTCTGCATAGAACCCACCACGTTGCTGCAGAAGCGTATGTCCGAGTGCAAGATAATCTCCCACGTGCAACCAAAATGCTGAATATCACCAGCCTTGACATGCCATTCTATTTGCAGTGGGTGTATATTTGTAATGAATGTGGGCCTTTTGACCTATGACATACACTGTAAGGGTCAGGTCCTCGGCTGGTGTAAATCAGCATCACTCCATTGACATCAGTTACATCAATTTACACCATCAGAGGATTTGGTCCAAAGTGGGTCTATGTATGCCTATGTACATGCACACTTTTCAAGTTATTGTGAAAACAATTTTATTAACAAGAAACCATTTTCCAGTTACTTTTGTGTGATTTATACTTGAATTTATTTTGCTCAAAATGTAGACTTTCTGAATTGCTCAGACATCTTGTGATCACTGTGTAAACAAAGAGAAAAGGAAGGACATGTGACTTGGACATTTTTGATAAGGCAAAGAAAAAAGTGATTGAGTTGTTGAGTACGGTAGCATGGAAAGAGAAGCGAGGTTGGCATACTGTAGATGTCTGCCATGTTTGAAGCTATTTGCTTTGGAAAGCTTTGCATTTTTAAGAGGAAAAGCAGGATGTTTGAAGGAGGGTCAGAGCAATGCTTAGAGAATAGCGGTTAGATCCCCAGCTGGCGTAAACAGGCAGAGCTCCGGTGAAGCCAGTGGATCTACGCTGAGACACCAGTGGAGGATCCAGGGCCGGCTCCAGGCACCAGCTTGGCAAGCAGGTGCTTGGGGCGGCCACTTCGGGGAGGGGCGGCATGTCCACCTATTCGGCGGCAATTCGGCGGACGGTCCCTCACTCCCGCTCAGAGCGAAGGACCTCCCGCCGAATTGCCGCCACAGATCGCGATCGGGGCTTTTTTTTGTTTGTTTTTGGCTGCTTGGGGCGGCCAAATCCCTGGAGCCGGCCCTGGGAGGAGCTCGTCTATTTTATTCCTAGTTGTCTTGAAAGGACATTTAAAGAGAGGTAGCACAGTCAATGGAAAAAGAAATAATGTTTTGAATGTTGATACATCAGCTATATTTGATTACACTTCAGCTCAAATGTTGATACACTGGGAGCAAATTCTGTTCTCAGTTACACCGGTTTAAATCAGGAGTAACACCACTGAAGTGAATGGTGTTACACAAGTATACAACTGGCATACAAGCTCAGAATCAGCCCCATTAACTCTATATGTCACCAGTGACATTACAGTACACACTAGGTGATGGAGTCGATAGTTCAGTGTAACACCCAAAAGTTACTGATGGGCTGACCTGGTCTGTATAAATGCAGGCTCCCTGCAGGTGCAGTTTGGCTGGGTATTTGGATATCCAGGCAACTAACTCTACTGAATTAGTCTGAACACTGCCATATTTCCCCACATTTTTTGTAGAGTCAGTGCCAGTGAAAGCAGAACTTGTAGCAAAGATAGTGCAGAGTAGGAAGCATTGATTAGTGTGTGTGGTGGATTATGTCACTCTCAGAAGTGCTGCCTTCTGCAGGTGATGCCGCAGCATGGTGGAGTTGTTTACCCATTGGACAAGCAGGCATTTGGAGAGATGCTTTGACTGTGATCCCTCTCTAACGTGTGGTTATGTTCATAAAAGTGACTGTCAAATGGCACATGCTTACTCCACATCTGCTCCACATGTGTCTTCAACTCATGGCGTTTTACATTACAGCCAAAGCCAAGTTTCACTGTTGTTAGGCCTGTAGAGGCAAAACAGCTGCAGGAGAGTGGCCCTGATTTTGTTCTGCCTCATGCATTGCTTGCAAATTGTCAGCTGAATTCCAACAGCAGACTCCTCCTACTTCACCATGAGTAATAAGGAGTCAGAAAGTACAGCTTACTTTGCAGATCTCAGGGTGAGATTGCAGAGCTGACAATTAGAAAAAACACCTTTAATTTATATACGCTTTACATAGAAGTTACTGAGAGAATTTGGGTACAATCTTACAAACTTGGACTCGCATGAGCAAGTCTCTACTGAGGTGAGCTACTCCCCTGAGTAAAAAACTTAGGGGAATAGAGCTTTTTGCAGTATGGGGCAAAATATGGAACCCCTTTGTCATTATCAGAGCATATTCACTCATCAGTGCCCTTTAGCAAGTTATTCTGAACCACATTACTTGCTCAAAAAGTGTCAGCATGTCAAAAACACCGCATGCATGCTGATTTTTGGCCTATGTAGCTCTTTCTTTGTACATAGGTAACAAATCCATAGGAGAATCCCATCACAAGGATTGTTTTTTTCATAGGCAAACCCCATAACAACTTAGGATCTGATCCAACTCCCACACATGTCAGAGTCTCTCTCTTGGAGCTAGATCAGGACCTTACTTATGTAAATAAGCTGCCCCACACACACGCCCAGAAAGCAAAGTCATCTTTGTATACCTCATTAACTAGTTCAATTCCAATAGTCTATTTTGCACAATAAAATGGTGCCAAAGTTCTAGCATTGTTTTCTTGCCACCAAGATATACCTCATCTTCTGACTCAGTATGAACTTACAAATAAGATTGTAAATTTGTAGGAAACACAAAAAAAACCTGTCCAATCGTTTATAAAATGTAATTGCTTCTATTTTTATACATACGTGCTGTGCACAACTCTTTAATGTATTCGTAAAATAAATTCTTTTGATACATTTCTTGTGTTTTGACTCCCTATTAAACTGCTTTGTGCTTATTTCAGAACTGCTGTATTCAGAAGAAATGATGTCTGCTGCTGCTTTTTATTCACGGCTGCAGTCAGAGGCCCTGTCAGCAGTTAAGGCAGAGCTGTGGGCTTCTGTATGGTTCATGTGTCCTCTCTGGGGCAGCCAAGAGCAAATTCTACTTAGCAGCTGAGAAATTGGAAGGTTTGGGGGAACAGTAGGAGTCTGAACTGTGGAAAAAGCAAAAGGTGGAGTCTGGTCAAAGTAGATCCACTGAAATCTTTGGCTTCGGGGCTCTTTATCTGGGGAAATTCTAGTATGATTCTTCTGTCATTAATGTTCTTAAACTTATAATTTCAAACAAGCATTAGTTTATTGCTTAATAGGAATGGCCCAAACCCCACAGCTACTTTACACACAATTAAGTTAATTGGGAAGGCATTTTTTAAAAATGGTCACTTCTAAAGATTTTGAGCTGCAGACTTTAGCTAAGTCTAGCCCTTGGTCACTCAGGCTGTGACCTCGTCAGTCCTTACAAATAAACAGTTACTCCAGGTGAGCATTGGCATAGGAGACCTCCAAGGAAAATCCAGTGTGCTACAGGCCACGGTGGCTGGAATTTGGGGGCTTTGGATGCCTAACTCTTACAGATACTCTCCATCTCAATTATTTGGTAAGCGATGTCTATTTTCCTGAATCAGTACTGAACCAGTCCTTAAATTAGGTGGGTCAGACATCTCTCCCCCACAGTTTCAAACTCCTGCCAATTGGGGAAATAACATTAAAAAAAATCCATTAAAAAAGGTTGGTGGGATGGGAACAGTCAGTCTTTTCTGTTCAATCACTCTATTGAACTCTAATACCCAAGATGGTATTTCAGAGCCAACGTAAATCCAAGACTGACTACTTGTGGTTATTGAAGAGGAGAAGTGTTAATCCCATTGTCCTGGCCAGATGCCAAACTGTGCAATTACAGTCTGCCTAGCTAAATTTCCCCTGCAGTTCTGGCTGGGGACTCTTCATTTCTGATCCTAAAACATCCTGTATTGGAGCTGTGCGGAGATGCCACGTTCCACCCTACAGCTGACTGCCCTTCCTTGGTGGATGAAGTGGTTCTTCTATATGCTGCAAAGAGTGCTAAGAGCCAGTTAGGCCAGGTAATGGTGGGATGGGCGGAGGGACACAGCCCCACTCTTGGTGGCTGGAAACACTGGGCCAGATTCCCAACAGCTGTAAATCAACTTGAAGTCAATGGAAATACAAGAATTTACAACTGCTGAGGATTTGATTCATTATCCCTGTGGAGGCCAGGAACTGACATGCTGGGGAGGGTGTGCTCGCCACCAGCCCTTGCTGTACCTTGGAAAAGGTGCAGCTGGCGCTCCCTGATGCAAGCTGCTACCAGTGGGAATATAGCCAGGGCCAGACCCTGCCGAGACACCCCTGTGACAGAGCGTGAGTAACCTAAAGCTGACTTAAGCAACAGAGAGTCCTGTGGCACCTTTAAGACTAACAGATGTATTGGAGCATAAGCTTTCGTGGGTGAATGCCCACTTCGTCGGATTACATGCATTTCAATTTCCACAAGTTCCTGCACCCTGGTAACCCTATATGCCCCCGCCAGCAGCCTCAGCAATTTGACTCAAGTTCTTGCTTCAGAAATGCTCTTCTGCTTACCTCCCTTGGCTCTTTCCCAGCCCTGCAAAGCTGTGGGAAATTTGCTGGGGAAGGGGAGACATTCATATGCCCAGTAGAACAGGCAAGTAAAATTGAATTAAAAAATAAAATCGAATAACCTAAACACTGCACCATTCCTGGTTTCCTTCACTCATTATCTCCCTCTTGCCTTATCTCTCTCCCTCCTGCCTTCAATAAAAGAAAAAAGGCTGGAAATTAGAGAAGTTCCTCCTTTAGAAGTTCCCCTGCCTGCACCCGGAGCCGAGTATCCCAGGTAAGTCTTTTCTGCCTTCCCCACCTCCGTCATGCTGCCCTCAGCATTCCATGGCAGAGCCCCATAATCCATCAGTTACTCAGTCTCTGGCTTCTTTGATATCCTGCCATCCTTATGAGGCAGCAGGTGGCATTCTCATTAGCTATTTATTTTTGTGTTCCCACATGTCCCATGATGCTACTGAATTACATGATGAGCCTCCATTTTTAGCGCCTGGCTTATACATAGGGTTCTCCTTTGGGATTTCTGCACCATGTAGCAATTGGCTACGTTCATGGACCTTCTATACCTCAGATTTCATCTTTGGGGCATACAGTTGGATTTTCCTTCTCTTGGCACACAAAATGAAGATCTGGAGAGTGCCCCATGGCCAACTGATGGAAGTGGGATCTGCAAATTAGACTGACAGTTTCTCTTTTTATTCCTTTTAAACCTAAACCAGTAGTCCCTGGCATTTTTAGAGACCTGTACCAATGCACCACACTGACCCCAGGACTGTGCCATTCCGTGCTCACCACCTCTCCTCTGACTGAGCATACTCTAGCGCTCAGAATTTGGGCTGCTCTCATGATGGCGAAGCTGGGGTCTGGTCCAAGCTCTATGCATAGGCGCCGACTCAGTGGGTGCTCCGGGGCTGGAGCACCCACGGGAAAAATTGGTGGGTGCTCTGCACCCACTGGCAGCTCCCTGCCCCGCCCCAGCTCACCTCCGCCTCCTCCCCTGAGCGTGCCGCGTCCCGCTTTTCCTCCCTAGCTCCCAGCGCTTGCGCCGCAAAACAGCTGTTTCACGTGGCTGGGAGGGAGGGGGGAGGAGGGGAAACGTGGCGTGCTCGGGGAAGAAGCAGGGCCGGAGCGGGGATTTGGGGAAGGGGTCCAATAGGGGCACGGTGGGGGCGGAGTTGGGGCGGGGACTTTGGGGAAGGGGTTGGAATGGGGGTGGGGCAGGGAAAGGGTGGAGTCGGGGCGGGCGGGGGGGGTGCGAGCCCCCACCGGTGCCGGGGAAAGTTGGCGCCTATGGCTCTATGGCATGTTATAGTGCACACAACTGCCTGGGATGGAGGTAGAGGTGGTACACATGGACCCACGAACAGAGACTCATAATGGTGGCAGTGGGAGCCTGGGGTCCCGCTCACAAAGATCTCTAGTACCAGT